AAGGATCGCCACCATTTTACACTGGGGCCCACTGGACAATTCAAGGAATATTTCACTTCTGGAGCAAAGTTAGAGAACTCTTAGAAGTGATCCTCTCTGATTCTTCATCCTCAGAAGCAAGCCCAAGGCTAAGCAATACAGTTAACGGTTATTAAATGTAGCCATCCTCCTTTTTTCCCCCATAAAACCCAGCTTATATAGCTACGTCCTCTGACCAAACTAGCTTGTGTCCTCCATATATTGACCAAATCCTTTTCTTTTTTTTTAACTCCATTGCTTGGATATCCATCCCTACGTAACATACCAAAGATTGCACCAAGAGTAACTGGCCCTTGCAAGGTGTACATGCACACACGTATAGAATGTTTCTGTGCTAACAAGCTTGTGGATCTGAGACAGCAGAGAACTATCATCATTTTTTGAATCAGCTTTCTTGACCAAGTTACAGGTAAAAATATGCATGAGGAAGAGATCATGGCTTTTTAGTGCTGTGAATCAGGGTATGAAATTATAACTCAGTGAATCCTTCTCATGGTTCAAGACACTTCTGGGCTAATTCACACAATGCTTCTGGTTAAGTTAACTGGGGTTGTATAGTTTGGGGAAAAGTACCCAAGGTCAACTTTGGGCCGTAGACTGGTCGGTCAATTCTTGTCACAAGAATTCACCCAGTTTGGTCTAGTGTTAAAGGCAAGTAGGAAAGGGTGAATTCTAGTTCCACCTTAGGTATGAAACCCACCTGGGTGACTCTGGGCCAGTCCCACTCCCCCCCCCCTCTCTTCTCTCTCTCTCTATCTCTCCCTCTCTCTCTCTCTCTCTAGGCCCACGACCCCAGGCTCTGGAGACAAAGCCTGTCAGTCAATTCCTTTGGCAACCAAATGGATCAACACTTGGTTGAGTGGGGGGAAAAAGCAAATCGTGCACTTGTGGAGAAATGTTAGGAAGAAAAGGAAAGGTTTTGGGAGAAGTTACTATAAAAAAAATAGACCATCATTAAACTATAATATGGTTCATTTCTTTGAGCTCCAGACATGGCGGCTGTGTTCCCCTCACCCAGATCTAGGACTTAGTGTGTTGTATAAACTCAGCACCACAACTGTTCCCCGAGCATTCATATGTGAATTCAGGAAGTATAAAGCATCCACTGTTTGATCATGTGGCAGTCATACCGTGGAAATGGTGGTGTGAAGCAAATGTTAACACCATGTCTTTGAACTGTTCAGCTGGCTTTGGTGTACTTTATAGCTTCTAAGTAGCAGGAGCCTCTCACAAAGCCTTGTGTAGAATATAAAGTTTATATTTCATTACAAAATAGCATAGCAAAATCCCAAGCAACGCATGTTCAACCAATTTCTCTCTGTGTTTGGAAATTTGTCCTTCAAATTCACAAAGGTTTCATGCTCATAGAAGACCCAGTGTGTTATTAGCAAATATATTACTTGCTAGTGTCAACTGAGAAGAAAGGAATTCAAAATATAACTTATGTTCAGAATTTTTTCCCCCGATAGAGGCATGTTTTGATTTTAATCAGTTCTCAAAGCAAACTAAACAAGATTTCCGATGCAAAGCTGTGGAACCCAAATCAAAGTTTAGTCAAATGAAAAATGTAGAGATGAAATTCAAATTTAAATCTCAACAGCTGCCAATAGGCATGGTTTCTCAAATCTAAAACTGTGCATTTAGGAAGCATTTTGGAGGCATGGTTTTAGTCTGATGGATGGTGGCCTTTTAAATTTTTATCCTTTTGCAACGGACGTAAGGATTGTTTTGTTTTCCATTGCAATACCTCCATTCTTCGCTCTCATATTTTGGCCATTTAATGTACAAAGACAGATACTAAAAACGATTTGAAGTGCACATTTGTCTAACTTAAAAGCTTTCTACCTTATCCTATTAGTAAATCAGGCAATAAAAGCATTATCCAATTATGAACACTGAAAGTTTTAAAATACAGCATCAAAAAGGACATTTTAGTGTGTGGATGTTTTAACCTATCAACTGTTATTTCTTCAAAAACATACCAGGGGTTTTCACTGAAAATAAAGATAATGGGAAAGAAAAACAAATCTTTTAATAACACTTTTAAAAGGACTAAGAAAAACACGTATGAATCACAGCATAAAGCAACTATGCAACATTTAAGGAGACACAATCTTATGAGGGACCAGTGACAAAGATCCCTGTAAATATATATACACAACAGTGAGTGCACACATATGCACACACCCACAACACAGCAACACAAGAGAGAACAGAGTGACAGATCCTCAGTGTCAGCATATCTGGCTGGCCATCTGGACCTGAGTTTCACACCAAATTCCCCAAATACGTTACCAAAACCAAGAAACTACCTGGTCCTCCTCACATTTTGAGAATCTCAACTGCTCTCTCGATTGGGTTTTTCCCTTTTCCCTTGTGTGTGTAAGGTGGACATTGATCCCCCAAATAAAAAGATTCTACAAACGTGGTACCCAAAGTCACAGTCATCTTATGCCTCTCCTCACCACCACCCCCTTGTTCCTGTGTAAAGAACACCCAAGTTTCCTACACCTCATTGCAACAACTTCAGTGCTTCCTTGGGGTTTGGAATTACCCCATTTCCAGCCCCACCTAAGAAAGCACCAAGGACACAGACCTTCATACATGTGTGTGTGCGCGCACACACACACACACACATTTACTACTCTACCCAGAGAAAGAGAGAGAGAGAGAGAGAGAGGATGTGGGGGTGGAGGGGGGCAGTTACTACAGGCTGGAAAATCGATTTCTGCTTCTGAACAAGCTTCACTTCCCAGACCTCCAGGTTCATTAGCAAGGACTGGGCTTGACACCAATACAATTTCCACACCAAGCTGGCTGCAGCAGAGCTGGGGGAGGGGTGCACACAGAGGGCCAGCTCTGCAGCCACTTCTCTGAACCCCCCCCCCCCCCCCCCCCCCCCCCCCCCGAGGAGGAGGAGGAGAAGGAGGAGGAGGAGGAGGAATGTGTCAAGAGGAGATTCTGCAATCTGCCTCTTGGTTTTTATTCGCCCAGATCACATCTCAGGCTGCCTTTTGCACCTTCTTAGGGTTCTGTCCCCGCTCGCCCACAGATGTCCCACTGCCCATATTTCTGACCCTTCCCCATTCCCAGCAACTCCTAAATCTCATCTGTCCAATCTATGAGGAAAGATGACTCTCCCAGGATCAGCTGGGTAATAGTAGAAGCATCCGTTATCCAAACGCCTGGTTCTCCTCTTAACTTTGGGAAGCAGGAGATGAAAAGAGCAAAGAAGAAGAAGCGGAGAGGCCGTGGTGAATGCCAATTCTGGCATACGGCATCCATCAGGCCCCATCCAGCCCCATCCACCTCATAATCTTAAGAGAAAGAAGATACATCTTCCCCAAGGGCACTTAAAAATGTCTTTCATAGATTCAAGGGACTCCAGTTCCCCAATAAATCACCCCGTTGCTTTTTTGCTCTAACCGCTAGTCTCCCAACAACCATCTTTCCCAGCAGGGTTGGCCTCACCGACCCACTCTGCTTATCTTTTGACTTCCCTGCCCATGGTTGAGTATTGGGGAGGTACAGGAACACAAAAATCTGTTTAATGATCACCTAGATCTCTATGAGGTGAGGAAGAGGAGGAGGAGGCAGGGTTGGGCAGGGTGTTTTGAAGCAGCTGAACAAAAGGAAGCAGAGCAACTTCCTATCAAGTGTGGAGATTAAACCCCTGGATTGGGGGCTGAATGCTTGAAAACTGGGGAGAGCCAGAAGCCCAGAAACTGCAAATTAAGGAGGGGGGAAAACAAGGGGTTTTTTCCCCCCACCCCCTCTTTACAGCAGAAGCCAGTGGGCATATTTATTGCCTCCACCTAGGCAACTCCATGGAGACCAAGAATGGAGGTTCACAAGTCTAGAATTTAAGTAACTAAAGGAGGGCTCTGTGAGGATCATTAAATGTTTAAAACTTGCTCAGTTTTAAAACAGGAGCAGGTAAACTAAATGTATGCGATTAAATCGGGTGGTACTGGTGGGGAGGTGGGGCACCACTGACAACTTAAAACAGGAAGGAGTGAATCAGAGTAACTGCATGATGGAGGTTGTACCTGCAACCAGGTATTGGGGGGGGGAGGGGAGGCAGAATTTCGGTGTGCTGAGACAAATGAGAATTAAGGGTGTGGGGGGGAAACCCTTGGGATTCCTGCTAGGATCTCACAAATGCCTCCTCACCGCTGCCCCTCCCCATTCCCCCTGGTCCCGGAAAATTCCCCCCCCCCCCCCCATGTCCAACCCCCCCCCTCCCTCACTCCCGATCCGCCGATCAGTCAAAACTGATCAGTCAAATCAGTTTGTTTCCAACCTCCGGAACCTCGCAGAAACCATTGGAAGAGATGCGGGAAGTTCTTTGAAGGGGATGGGAAACCAGCGCGATTGCACTTCTGAGGCTGCTGCTGGGGATCGCGACGGCTAGGGCGGGCGGGCGGGGTGGGGGAACCAGAACCCAGCCGGTTCTTCCGGGCCTGCCCGCCTTCTCTCTCCCCGCCAGCCAGAGAGGGGCTTTCCCTCCCCATCCCCGCCTTTGCCGGGTCCTCTTCCGAGCGGCGGCCGCGCTACCGGCGCCTTCGGCCAGCGGCTGGCTCTTCCCGCTGTTGCTGCTGCTGCTGCCGCCGCCGCCGCCGCCGCCGCTACCATCCACCCCCTCTGCCCCCCACCCCCTCCGTCTATCGACCGCAGGATGCCGGCGCCGGAGGTTCGATACGGAGCAGTGACACTCCGGATCAATACCGCCTGAATAAAAACCCGCTCGCCCCTCGCCACTTTCCGCTTTCCCCTCCTTTCCTCTCTCGCCTTCTCTTCGGCGGCCGGGCGGGAAGTGTTTGGGGGCGCCTTTTCACCGCCCTGGCTGGGCTTTTTGGGCCGGGCCGGGGGTCCCGCGACCTCTTTGGGGGGTGGGGGGGGCGGGAGGTCTCCCCTTCCCCTCTCTCGCCCGCCTTTCTTCCTCTCGCTTCCCTCCTTACCGTTTGCAGAGCGCAGGGCGAGCGGCGATTTGAGGCGCCATCCGTGCTCCGGGCCGGCGGATCTTTGGAAGACCAAGGGGACCGGTAGTGGGATGAACATTGCGAGGACCTGTGAGTGACACTCCGCATAACCCCACGGAGGGAGGAAAAAAAATATAAAGATAGATAGATAGACAGAGAGAGAGAGAGAGAGAGAGAGAGAAGGATGGGGAGGGGGGGGCAGGCGAGCGGCCAAGGGAGCCGGGCGCGGGGTGGGGGAGACGCACGCCGGACAAGGGAGTGACAATCGGCGCGGTGGGGTGGGGTGGGGGTGGGGGGTGGGAGAAGGGGTGGGAACGGGACACAGTTCGCCCTTCTCCCCCTCCAGCAACGCTCCGCTTTCGGCGCTTACACACGTGCGTGCTTGGGTCTGGAGCCAGACGTGTGTGTGTGTGTGTGTGTGCGTGCGTGTCTGCCTGGCAAGGCCGTGTGGGCTTTCGGTCACTCCACCAGGATCATTTTAAGGCTTTTGCAACAACAACAAAAAAAAAGGGGGAGAAGGGAAAGGAAGGGGAGGTGGACAGCATGCATGCGTGCGCGCGTGTAAAACACACCGATCGCCCCCCCACCACGCCTGTGAATGTGTGTTTGTCGTGCCCCCGTTCGGAGACCGCTGCTCTTCCCCCCCCCCCGCCCTTAGCCTGGTCCGAATTTCTCCTCTCCCCTCTTCGCCTGGCCCCCTCCCGTCACTCGCAGCCTGCGATTCCCACTTTATTGTCTTCCCCGTTATCTCGCGCGCGCTTCTCCCCCCTCGCCCGCCCCCCTCCCTCTCTCCTTCCAACCACCCCGCTTTGACAGATGACATCCAAGCGAGCGACTTGCCGTCCCTCGCAGTTCCACCCGCCCCCCCGCCACCCTCGCGGGCTCCTCCGCTTCCAATTTCCCCCCTTTCTTTCTTTCTTTCTTTCTTTCTTTCTTTCTTTCTTTCTTTCTTCACTCTTTGCACAAGTACAGTCCTTACCCAGACAAAAGCAATTACTCCTTAGGTGTAAGCTTACTGTGGGTGTCAGAAAGAGAGGAGGGGGAAGCAGAAGAATTGGGGAGAGGGAGAATTACAGAAACCCCCACCTCTCTCCCAGCAAATAATCTTTCTTTTTCTTTTTTTTTTTTTTGCCTGGCCTTCCGTCTTCAAAAATTAACACCGACACACGCGCGCGCGCGCGCGCGCATACATATACACACACACACACACCTGACACCTTCTTGCGGGTCAAACTCCGCTTTGGTGGCGCTAAAAAGAAGCCGCGTTAATCGCCGCGGAGTTTCTCCTCCGGCTTCCTTAAATTAACGCGTCACTTCCAACAGCCCCCCCCTCCCGCCCCCCCCTCCGCCAATCGCGGCTCCTTCCAGGTTGATTATTACGGGAGATTTACACGGATAATCACTGCAAAGCACCACGATAATAAAGGGGTGACCTTCCCGCTCCCCCCACCCTTGCAGCCCCTAGGATACATAATTAGGCGGGCGTGGGGGGGGTGGGGGGTGTTTCTCTTCTTTTTCTTTCGCAAGCAATAATTCTTCCCCGCCACCGGCTTCCAACCCAGCCGGCCTTTGGTTTTCTCCCCACTTTCGTTGCAGAGTTCACGCCGCCTTTCGCCTCTCCCGGAATCGCCCCGCTCGGGTAGGCGAGGCCGAGCAACTCCTCCGGATCCAGGGAGAGCAACTCTACATCCGCCCGCTTCCTCCCCGCCCAGGCAGGGGCCTCGTCGCCCACCGCCGCCTCGACCCCCGGAAAAGACCCGCGGGGGAAGAGATCGTTGCTGCTGCTGCCGCCGCCGCCCCGGGCGGACGAGGGCCCCTCCGCCGCCCCTCCCTTCTTCGTGTCGTCCCCCCCACCCCGAGCTCAAAGGAGGCCAGGAGCGGCTCCAAACCGGCCGTGGGGGCCGCAGTCGCTTCCCCGAAGGGGCTACCAAGGACGGAGGCTTCGGGTCTCCTCGATCCGGCCTCGCAGCTCTTGGCCCCGACGACCCGCCCTCGCCTTGCGGGCAGGAGATTCCGACTCCTCGAAAGAAGAGCGAGAGCCACTTTCTGGCTTTTTCGGGAGGAGGAAGCAAGCCCAAAGCGAGGCTTCGCCCCCTTCTCTGTCCTGCCCTGCTCTCCTCCTTTCACTCCCCCGATCCTTTCGGCGTTAAAACAAACCGACACGCGGAGCGCCCAGGGCCAGCCCCGTCCCCCAAAACCTAACGCTGCTCGCAATTGCTCCCACTTCAAAGGTCTAAAAAAGAAATAAATAAATCCCCCCCTTCCTCAATTCTCCCGTGTATTCCCCCGGACAAAAGTGGACCTTGTTTTTAATTCCGAAACTCCTCATCCGCAGCATATTTCGAACCGTGGGAGGGGGGGTGGGCTGGGGAGGAAATCCCCCTCCAAGGCTATTTCTGCGTCCCGTGTGAGCTCCCCTTTTGTGCATCGTTTGACACCCCCCCCTCCTCCTCCCCCCCCCCCCCACACCATCCTGGAAAGTAAACCAAGGAGGCTAAAGAGGGGGGGTGTTGTAGGAGGAATGTATGTAGTGAGTGCCTGTAGGGAAGGCAGAAAGAAAGCTGGACCCAGTGTATGAAAGGAAGAGTCAGGCTTGGCGGTGGATGGACAGAAAATGTGATGGAAATATATTACTGACAGGGAGTAGGAGAGAGGGGTGTATATACATTGTGCGATATAGAAAGGGATCAGATTGATGGTGGGGCAAATAGATGAATATGTATGGGGCAGAGGGTGGGGGGGGGGGGAAGGGTTTCCACCAGAGTGAAAAAGGGAAGAGAGAAAACAGCAGAAAGAAGGAGGGCAATTATTTGATTCAGGACCACCTTGCGGAGGTCAAAAATTAACTGCCGCTAGCCTTCAAAGTACATGGTGGGTGTCTCGGGAGGGTTAATATGTACCTTCGCTCTCTTTCTCTCTCCCCATGCCTAGGTCACAAAAAACAACAGTCAGGACACACCTACACCCATTGTAAGAGATGCTCCCCCTGTATTATAACAAAAGCCAGAACGGAGGTTTGGTTTCCTCGGAGGAGGAGGAGGAGGAGGAAGAAGAAGGGAGGAAGAAAAAACGGGGGGCAAAGAGGCTGCAGTTCCATTCCTGCTTCCAGGGAGAAAGGTCTGTCCATGCTAATAATAAATCAATGCTTGGAAAGAGAAGCTGAGTTATCACAAATCTGCCACCCACCTTACGAAAAAAGAAAAAAGAAACTGTACAGAGCAGGGTCACCTAATAAGAAGTGTGCTGTTCTCACAAGGGCCACTTCAACCAGTAAAAGTGCCACAGCCCACATGTGTCATTTAAATGGACCTTGAGAATCGTGTTGGTCCCACTTCCTAACCTAGATTGACAAGATTTTTCCCGGACGAGCGAGGGTGGCCTGTGGAAAAAATGCTTTTCTCTCGGATCTCCAGAGGTCTTCTTCCCCCCCCCTCCCCCTTTCAGCCCAAGCCAAACAGAAATACTCTGTTCTTTAAAAAAAAAAATATATGGTGGATACCTTCTTTTTTCAATCCCCACCCATTCTGTACTAGGCACAATAGGGAAGCACAAATTGAATTTGTATGATAAAAACAATTCAACCTGCCCCAAATCCTTGAGACCAGAAGGAAAGAGAGGTAAAAGTAACTGTTCAAAATAACTGCTTTCCAATATAATGGCTGCTCAAAGTATTTACTATAACCTTTATGTATTCTTTCAATTTATACTACTTTTTTTCTAGAGCAGTATTCAAGTATGGAAGAAGATAAAATCAGAGCTGGAAGGGAAGATGGCACAGAGAATAATGGATAAAAAGAGGGGTTTTTTTTATATATATATATATTAACGTTATATATATATATATATATATATCTTAACGTTCAATGAGTTTCTTTAGGTGAGCTCAAAGCCAGTGGGATTTTCAACTATTTTTTTTCTCATAAGCTGCTTATATCTCAAACTGGTTTTAAAATTGTTTCAAAACTAGGGTCTGATTGATAACAGTTTACTAAAGCCCTTTTCAGTGAAAGCACCCATTCATGCTGTTCTCTGGCCCTTCATTCTTCTCCAGAGAACATACAGAGGTGCGCATGTGTGTATGTGCTAATTAACCCCGCTTTCTAGCAGCGGTTCAGAGACAGTCGAGTGCAAAACCATTTTCTACACAATTAAAAGATGCAGATAATAACTACACACACTGCATGGAGCATCCTGTCTGTTTCTTAGAAGATGAAAGGAGAGGCAGTATCCATATGTGGGTGTTGGGCTCAACAGAATGTTTCCTGCTACTCAGAATTGTATGGGCAGACTAAATTCCTAGATGCTAGCATCCAATTAAAAGATGGATGCAGCAACAGGTTTTTTTGATGGGGAAATAATTTTTTTAAAGGATCTAATTATTATCAACAATGATGATTATGGGACTGGAGGCTAAAACAAATAAAGGACAGTTGCTGGAAATGGGTATGTCTAGTTTAATGAAAAGAAGGACAAGGGGGTGACATGATAGCACTGTTCTAATATCTCAGGGGCTGCCACAAAGAAGAGGGAGTCAAGCTATTCTCCAAAGCACCAGAGGGCAGGACAAGAAGCTATGAATGGAAACCAATCAAGGAGAGAAGCAACTTAGAACTAAGGAGGAATTTCCTGACAGTGAGAACAATTAATCAGTGGAACAAATTGCCTCCAGAAGTTGTAGGTTTTTAAGAAAAGATTGGGCAACCATTCATCTGACATTGTATAGCGAACAGGGGTTGGACTAGAAGGCCTTCAAGGTCCCTTCCAGTCTATTACCCATAGATCTTTCTTGCTAAACTAAAGCCATCCCATCCACCTTTATCTGAGTCATTTACATTAGAACTAGGAGCACCAGCCCCCAGCCCCCAAAAATGATCATATAACATGTGTATAGATGAGCTGAAATATTAAAACTCATCCTGTAAAACGGACGAGAAAGCATTCTTCTTGTTTTTGCCAATCCAAGGCCTCTGCAGTTCTCAATAACATTCTGGCTTTTATTTAGAATTGTTTTTCTCCCTCACTGAGAATTAAAGTTTTAGAAATATGCAACATCCCTCCCACTGCTGACCTGTTATCTCT